TGGGAATATCCCCCCCTTATGTATTATACTGGGATCTACCCCTTATGTTTTATACATGGTGATTTTTTTCCCCCCTTATGTATTATACATGGGATCTATCCCCCCTTATGTATTATAAAATGGGATCTTTCCCCCCCTTAATTTTCCCTCTTCTCAAGGGAGAAAAAATTTCGTTTCTCTAATTTTTCCCTCGTAGCTGAGTCCTCCATGCCTCTTATCAGTTTGGTTGCCTTTATGTACTTTCCCCTCCAGTTCACCACTGTTCTTTTTGTGGAAATTGGTGCCCAAAAAAAACTGAAAAGAACTGCATTATTCCCAAGATGAGGTAGATCACTAATGATTTGTACAGGGGAGAATAATATCTACTATCTCTGCAGTCTATACCTCTTTTTACTACAAGGAGGAGGAGATTGCTTCGCTTTTATAAGTACCAAACAGCTTGGCAGTTGCTGGCCATTTTTTTAAGCTTGGTGGATCTTCCTGAGAACTCGCCATCTCCTTTCTCCACCATTGACCTTCCCCCCCAGTTGTAACCCTCCCCTATGTATGTTATGATGGCATGCATATTCTTTAGCCCCCAAGTGCAGGAATTTTACATTTATCTACATTAAACCTCATTTTGCCACATATAGTCCCTCCAATTTACACAGTGCATTGAAGGGTCGCTTGTAAGTGGAGACTCCCTGTAAGGACGAAGTTATTACACGGCACAGCTTGGGTGTCTCCTGCAAAGACTGAAATGGGATTTATAATCCCAGACCCTTTATTGTTATAAATACAGTATATTAAAAAGTAAGGGTCTCAACACTGAACATTGGGGTACACCACTGACTCCACCGACCATTCAGAGTATGAATCATTAACCACTACTCTCTGAATACGATCTTTTTAGCCAGATTTTCGTAGAAGATTTATCCATTTTTACATACAGATTTTTTGCAAGCCTGTAGATTTTACTTACACATTAGCCGTGTGTGGGGAACTGTGTCAAACACATTTGCAAAAATCCAAGTACACCACGTCCACCCGCCACCGCCCCCCCTCTTTCCAAGTAAAAATTTACCACCTCCACCACTGCCACCAAAACCGCCACCCCCCTCTGTCCAAGTATAACCACGTCCACAGCCACTCCCTCTGTCCAAGTATACCATGTCCACCGCCACCCCCTCTGTCCAAGTCAACCATGTTCACGAGCCACCCTTCTGTCCAAGTATATACCATGTCCACAGCCACCCCTTCTGTCCCAGGTATACCACGTCCCGACAGCCACCCCTCTGTCCAAGTCAACCACGTCCACAGCCACCCCTTCTGTCCAAGTATACCACGTCCACAGCCACCCCTCTGTCCAAGTATACCACGTCCACAGCCACCACCCTTGTCCAAGTAATATCCATGTCCACGAAGCCACCCCTCTGTCCAAGTAATAAACCACGTCCACAGCCCACCCCTCTGTCCAAGTATAAGACCACGACGTCCACCGCCTCCCCTCTGTCCAAGTCAGCCAATGTCCACACAGCCATCCCTCTGTCCAAGTATAATAAAAATGACAAAAAGTGACATTCACTAAATTACACTAAAATCATCATAGTAATAACATTCCTGTATCAAAAAAACCATTTCACATACATATTTGTCCCGAGTGCTTTGGTCCTGCACCCTGCCTGCATTTTTTACTGTTTCTTTCTGCCTGGAACTACTGAGGGAAACGTCCCATGGCGTCCAAAAAGTGTCCCTTTAGGTCAAAAAAAGCGGTTTTTTTTAGACCGGCTAGAGAACAGCGATAGTTAAAATCAGAAACCACTTGCAGAATTGAGTGATAATGATTCGGGGGGGGAAATTCCTCATCAGACACTGAAAACGATTCTGGCGAACTTTGCTGACAGCGATGTGCAAAACTGGCGCTATATTTCAAATTTCAGTGTTTTTGGTTTTTTTGATTATATTATTGAATTAAAATTTATTTAAATATTATAATATTATTTTTATGATTATTTATTAACCTCCTTTGGCATTTATTCCTGAGTGTAGCTCGGGGTAACATTTCAGTATTACAAACGGTAAACCCCGAGCTACACTTCGGGAATAACACATGCGGCACTGCTCCGGCATGTGTTCTTCACTTACCTTACCCTGCGCTCCCCTGTGATGTGTCCCCTGCAGCGTTTCCTGCTATCTCCTCCGGCCGATGCCAGCATCCGGCTTCTGTGTCCTGTCCCTGTGACGTCGGGACGGTACGGGCGCTGCTGGCGGCGGGAAATTTAAAAATTTTAAAAAATGTCTTTTTTTTTTTTTACATTTTACATAGTAAAACATTGCTGTCTCAAACCATTTCACATACATTTTGTCCCGAGTGCTTTGTCCGGCGCCCTGCCTGCATTTTGTCTGTTCTTTCTGCCTGGAAACTGAGAAACGTCCATGGCGTCCAAAAAGTGTCCCTTTAGGTCAAAAGCGGTTTAGATCGGCTAGAGAACAGCGATAGTAAATCAGAACCACTTGCAGAATTGAGTGATAATGATTCCGTGGGGGAAATTCCTCATCAGACACTGAAAACGATTCTGCGACTTTGCTCAGCGATGTGCGAACTTGGCACTCTATTTCACATTTCAGTGTTTTTGGTTTGATTATAATAATTGAATTAAATGTATTATTATTATATTTATTATTTTTTATGATTATTTATTAAATTATAATTTATGATTTCGTGTTTCAAATTTTATCATACCCGGGATGTTTACTAGACTCTTGTTCGGACAGATTTCAGTGAGTTATTCCTAAGAATTACAGCCTACAATAAAAAAAATACATGTTTCCATGCAAAAAAATGGTACCGCTTTCAGCACCAAAAATCGGAAAGAATCATACCGCCGAGGAGGTTAAATTATAATTTATTATTTTATGTTTCAAGTTTTTATCATCCCCGGGATGTTTTACTAGACTCTTGTTCGGACAGATTTCAGTGAGTTATTCCTAAAAATTACAGGCCTACAATAAAAAACTACATATTTTCCATGCAAAAAAAGTACCGCTTTCAGCACCAAAAATCGGAAATAATCTTACCGCCGAGGAGGTTAATATGCAGGTATGCTGTACAAGAGCAAGTGCCCAGCTCACTCAGCATATTACACTTTGTCTTTAAAAGAAAAAAAAAAAAAAAAAACAGTTCCCTGGCTAGTTCTGGTTTCTACACTTTCTTGGTCACTGACCAAGAACAAGCATACCTGTCAGGAAAGTTCTATGCAGGGCAAAAGCAACAGCTCCACATTAATTGTGATTACACTGGCAGTACAAATCTTTTTTTTCACTTCTTGTGGCTTTGCATTGAGAGCAAAAAAAAAATACCATTTCTGAAATATGAGGGAATAATGTACTTGTGATCTTTTTTTGTGTCTTCTGTTGTGAAAGCCACAAAGGCAATCGACTGGGAATAAGAACAAGTTCCTGCATCAAAGTGAAAGTTTATCCTTCATTTAAAATGTAGTTGCTATTCTTGATGTTTGAAATAAAAGAAATTATCAAAGAGAACTGGGCTGTATCTAATTAAAATGGGCAGATTCAGAAACACAGGCTTCACCACCGAAAGTGGATGTGGTTTTAACTTTGGGGGTTTTACTTCAATTGCCCCGATCCCTTAAGATGTTGGGGGAAAGGGGGAAACAGGGTGAAAATCCAGAATAGGGCAGGGAAAAAAGGGTTTATTTACTAAAACTGGAGAGTGCCCAAAAACTGGGCAGCTTGCCAAAAGAAAAACCCAATTTTTTAGCTTCCAGGTTTTTGTTGTCCCAAAACTTTTAAAGGAAACCCGCTGAAGTTAGAAATGATTTGGGTTAAAGCAAAGCGCACCAGATTTTGCATCTCTAATTTAGTTAATTTATCCCCCGAGTAAAAATTTTGAAAAGGGGCGGACTGACAAATCATTTGGGGCCCCCGGGGAAAAAGGGGTTTGGGGCCCCCGTGTTTGCCCAAAATCAAAAAAACCTTTGGAAAAAAAAAGGGACCGGAAAATTTTTGGGGCCCCCCCTGCCCCCCGGGGCCCTTGGTAGGCCAAAATTTCCCAAAAGGTCAGTCCGCCCTGATTGTGGGCAGCTTTAGAAGAAAATAAGTTGTCCAAGACTTAATTTGGGGGGGTTTGCAGTGGACTTTGGGCAGATTTTTAGGGTGATTAAATCTTTTCAGGACAAAAAGAGAAAGGGGTGCCAGAGACTAGTTGGTGGTGCTACTTAAAACCCCTGGCGGTTTTTTCCGGGTGTAGCTGGGGGGGAAAAAATTTTTGCAACCAAAAACGGGTTTTCCCCGAGGGGGCAAATGGGGGAAAACACTGCAGCGGTTTCTGGGGGTCTCTTCCATTACCCTTTTTCTTTGGGCCCCGCGGATGGTTTCCCCCCGCAGCGCCCCGGCAATTTTTCCTCTGGGCGATGGGCCCGGGATTCGTCTTCCCGGGGTTTTTTTCCCTGCGGGGCGCCCCGGGGGATAGGGGGACGGGGAAACGGCCGGGGAAAAATTTAAAAAAATGTTTAAAATTGTACATTTTTAAAAACTAAAAAAATTTAAAAGTATTTCCTTACGGGATAAAAACCATTTCCAAAACATTTTTTTCCCAGGTCAAAAACTTGTTTTTGTAAGCCGTCGTTTTCCCAAAGGGGGAAAGGTAGCCATTCCCTTGGGACTCCATTTTAACCCTTTATTTTTTAAAAATTGTTTCCCAAATTTGGGTTGTTTTTTTTTCATTATTTAACCCCCCTTTTTCGGGGGTTTTTCCCGGGGGGTAGCTTTGGGGGAAAGTTTTCCACCCCAAAAAGTAAAACCCCAGCTACACTAAAGGAATACACTGCAGCGTTGCTCCAGGGGTCCCCAGCCCCTTTCCTTTTCCCTTGTCCCGCAATGTCCCCCTGCAGTGTTTTTTCCCCGCCCTTTTTCCCCCCAGCAAGGGCCCGCCTTTGTTTTCCCGGGGTTCCCTTCCCCGCGATTTTCGGGAATTTGGGGGGGAGGAACTGGGGGGGGGAAATTTTTAAAAAAAGTGGAAAAAAAATGGGCTTTAAAATAATACACTAAAAAACAATTGTTTAACATTGCGGTTTTCAAAAATTTTACATACAAATTTTTCCCCAGTGCT